TCTTAAGGCTCGATGGACAACAATGCCACCGATGATTAGATGGCTCCAAGTCAATCTATAAGGACCGACGAGAGATGGGAATGCTTGTTCGCTGGCAGGCAGGAGGTGGACAGTGGACAAGCCGGGGTATATATCTTGGTCAGCAGACAAAAAGCTTTCATTAATTCAATATGCTTACGGGGAGGTCAACTATCATTAACCAGCGCTGCAGACAAGCATCGTTCTAATGATGAAGCCGATGATAACCTATTGGGTGTGCGAGTGTGTGTGTGTGTGTGTGTATGGGGGGAATGAATTAGTTTGCATTAAGTATACGCCACAGTGTACTCACAGATGCCGGGCGGGATTTAAGGAGCAAGTGTGTCAGTGTATGTGCTGGCAAGCCAGGACTTATGACTGCCGCTCATTTGGCTGCCTTGGCAGTGGTGGAGTGCCAGCAGCCCTCGGGAGGATTAAGTTCCAGCCCCAGCCCCTCCCCCGGGGCGGTGTGTGTGTGTGTGAAGCATGGAATATTAATTCCTTAAGTAATTCACAACATTTGCAACTAATGTTTGTTAATGAGCTCCGCCACATCGCCCCACATCCTAGCATGCTGGCATCCCGGCATCTTGGCATCTTGGCATCTTCTCCTCCGGTTTTGGCAGGGCCCGAGGTCAAGGCAAGTGCTGCGGGATGTCTGCAGCTTTCCGACTTGTTAAATGCTGGAATTACCAAAGTGGAAAAGTGAAAAGGTCCCTCAGTAAGCCCAACTGGAAGCTCGGCAGAGTCTCTTGGCCTCAGAGCCGCACACAAAACACTTAATGAAATAATTATGTAAAGCAAACAACCTGTCGTTATATGCCCACCTTGGCCATCACCTTTGCCGCAGAGACTTGCTTTTGACATTCATTAATTTGATGATATCCAATCTTAATTATTATGCGTTTAATTAGATGGCTTTCTGTGTGCCAACGGCCTTGAGCGAATACCTGACAAAGCATAGATACGCCCTTTTGGAATGGACATAGGGATAATGGGGGTTTCCCTATAGCTTGTAATTTGAGTAATTTTAAAGCTCATTATTGCTACCTTGAGAAGGTTAAATTTAATTTTATTTTGAATTAGGTGATTTAGATTTAATGTTAATGGCAATAAATAGGTTATAGCTTAAACAGAATTATCGAAATAAATTACCTATCAGACCTCAAAGCCCCTTGAATCAGAAATTATTAATTAGACAATTTAATAGACACATTAAATTTAAGTTTGAAATTTATGTACACCTGCTGAAATAATTCACCTGATTTAGATTATTTAGAACATTGATCCCAGCACGGATTATCTCAGGATGAGTAATGCCCGGGGCAGCAACTATGTCACGGCACCTAAACTAGTTTATTGCATGCTAATCATCGCACTCCCCATTAAGTATGCAACAAATAGTCACCAGAAACAAGGGGGCACCGCGGAGGCAGGGACGGGTACATGTAAAATAATTTGAAAACACGGCATTAGCGTAATGAAGCATGGAAAAGCGGGCGGCCGCCGAGGGAAAGCGGAGGGAAAGTAGGTGAAGCCGTTGGCAAGCAGGTGAAAAGCGCACATAAATGCCAGAAGTTATGCAAGTCCTTAACTTTCATGAGTATGCCACGCTGACAGACGAGCGTTTCGGTTGGGCGTGTGGTGTGGTGTAGGACGTGGGGCGTGGGGCGTGGCTTTTGACGAACAGGTGCGGAAAGGGACACTGGCAAGGGGCCGGGCCAAAGAAAAACTGTTGTTGCAAATGCAGATGGAAATGGCTGCTGGCTGGGTGCAAGTGGCGTATCACACATGTTTGTCATGTGAATGGGGCTGCCTCAAAGTGTCTGTCTGGATTCAGGTTGAGTGCGAGTTCTCTCGCACAACTTTGGGACACACACAGACATATGGAGAGGCACTGAAAAAAATACCTACAATATGATGTATAATAAAGTTTAAAACAGTATGGATAAAAACCTTATAAAGCTAACACTTTAACATTAGTATTATTGAAATAACACTTTGTAGACTTTAATTAATATTTTATGAAGTTTTTTAAATACCAAACTAAACGCAATCCCATTTTAAAAAGATCTTAAGGAAAACTCTTGACTTCCCTTTTATTTTATAGTAACGAAGTAATTCCATCTCCAATCAAAACAAGAACCATTTTCTGGCACTTTAAACAACAATTATTATTTAATAAATCCTCAAAGGATTTCAAAGTTTCCTAAATCTTTACCCAACTCTCAGTGCACTCCTTCCCAAGCGGAAAGCCTCGTATTCTTATTCAGTGCGTAATCTTCACCTTTTTCACAGTTTTGCCGTGCACTTTTATTGCATCCTTTCGAGGCGCGACCAGGACTCGGTCGCAGGAGAAGTCACAGCAGCAGCAGCAGCAGCAGCAGCAGCAGGAGCTTGTATCGACAAAAGTTGCACCTTGAATTTGCCACTTTATGCCGCGAGTTGCCCGCACTTTGCCGCCCGTTAAGTAGTTGTAAGCTGCATAATGTATTTACGCAAGCACCGGAAATTGGGTGCCACGAGCTGGGTGGAAGCCCAGCCATGAAGCCCTGTGGCAGCCATCGCGCTAAACGCGCATAGACAAGTGTGATCCCCAGCGGATGCTGGGGGGAATGTGGTGTGTGGGATGGGGTTAGGGTATGCTGGATGCGGGCACTGTTTGGTTTCTGCTGGCATATTTTATGGCTCTCTGCATCCAGCCAAATTGCAGCAACTCGCTGCTGCGGAGCGGATTTGATTAATATGCAACGTTCACGTAGTTCAGCAAGCTGCGGTTTATGGGCCTGTAGATTGCCACTCGCCTGCCAGAGATTTCAAACTCTTTGGAGCCCTCAAATTAACGTTTCCTGGAAACTGTACAACTTTTGTTTCGGGGCAGTGGCGACACATTGCTGGGAATTTCTTAATTGCATTTTTTTGTTTTTGAAATTGATTTGCATGGCTACCAAAAAACCAAGAGACAGCAGGACAAAAAGGCTGTCTAAAGCATTACAACAAAGAAGGAGCCGTCAGCCACAGAAATATTCACTGCAAGGACCAACAAATTTAAAAAGTATCCTTAAAATAGGGCCAGCAAGAACTACTTTCCTCACAAGTGACGCACTTTATAAATATCTGAAAATAATATTACGTTGAAATGTTTCGTCTTCGTTAGACCCTTACTACTTGACAAGGGTATGAAAACTTCGGCATGACGAAGTTAACTTCCATTCTTGTTAATAATAAATTGGTCAAGTTTAAAGTAGATACAGTTTTCCCACTTCTATGCCCCACTGTATATGCAGATGGTGGCAAATTCCGGCATTTCTTTGAATGAGAATTGTATGTTAATTTTTTGTATAATTGGCCAACGTTTAGTTTTTAATACTGACTCGGCAAGATAGAGCGGGGAAAGTAGAATGCAAATATGGAATTTTTACAAAGATACCGGCAGATAGGCGGAGTGGGAGATACAAAGGGATAGGTGGGTTATAGGTGGGAACTGTGGCAGCCGTAGAGTTCAGGGTCCATTTCCATGCCATCATTGCCATAATCAGGGTAGGCAGCCTTGCCAGCCACCGCCGCCGGGTGAATTTTGTGCGGCAGTATGCAAATTAACTTAAATGTCAACGTTGGTAAAATTTTTAAAACGAAAAACGACAAACGCAGAGTGTTCCCCGAAAAGGGTGGCCCTGCCAGCCATGTAGATTCGTTGGAAAATTGTGCAGCAAATACGGGACAGGAGCAGGACCAGCAGCAGGCAGGGTGACAAACTGCAAACGTCAACCAATTTTTTCCCTCCTCTCTGCGAGTGAGTGAAACTCGGTGACAATGATGTTAACTAGAGTGTGAAAACTATGATTGGCTGACAACGGAGGTGGAGTGGAGCGCAGCGGTGCTTGCTGGGCTCCATGTACAGCCTGATTTATGCCATATTCTTGCTCATCTCACCGCTCAGGGGTCGTCACCTCCTCATCATCAGTACCCGGGCTTTGCCTGCTCGTCAACCACTTTGCGTACGCTTGTTGAAACAAATGCCACGAACGATTTTCATTTTCATTTTGATTTTCCTGCTCTCGGTCTGTGCGCTTTCACATTTTCCTTGAAAACTCTCATGCTTTACACTAAATGGAGCGCTGAAGCTTTCAAGATGGAAATAATTCTTTAAGCTGGCCAAATCTGGGTCAGCTAATGGACACTTTGTGGCTCTTAAAGAGGGGCGGAGGGTGCGACAATTAAGCTGAGTAATTGGCCGGCAATCATTCTAAAAAATACAGTATCGTTTTTATAACTTATTTAAAGTTAATTAAAATACATTCCGCAAAGAACTGGCGTGTGCATTTCACTTAATAAAATTCATTTAAATTAAATATGAGAGGGTTTGTTTAAAATGCACAAAAACACCGTCATCGACGGCTGCAATGAATGCGCAACTAATGCCAAAACCAAAACTCATTTATCCGCATCCCGGCCCGGATGGCCACGCCCACATCCTGCCCAATAACCACAGAAAATTACTGCTGAATTCGTTTTGCCAAAAGTTGCCTGCTGAGCCACGGTTGGAAATATTTCGACAGCCAGTGGGTTTGTCGAGCTCCCAACTCTGCATCAGTTTAACACGTTGTTGGTGAGAATAATTTGAGCTGCTCCCTTCCTTTCCTGTGCCTTCTGCATACTGGGTGCTTTTTTTTGCGGAATTCTCCGTGTGTGGACAGCGGTTAAGCCATGAATGAATATTTAACAAACTTGTCCACAGTTCTCAGGCGGTGTTTGAATATATGAGTGGGCTGACCAGGACGAAGGAGCATGTAAAGCATGAATATTTTGGTGAAAAATGTGTAAAATTGTGAAAACACAGCTTGCTGAAAATTTTAATTAATTAAATTGTTGGTACACGGCCACACCTAAATAATATCAAAGTCGAATAAATAACAACTTGATTCCATTGAAGAAGTTTTATTTAATTTTATTTATTTGTATTTCACTTATTTGTAATGGCTTAAGAATTATTGCAAACACTTCGTTTTATTTCATTTCAATTGATTTTCGATTTAATTTTAATTTTCATTTGCATTCCCTTAAAAATTGATATTGCAAATCAAGTATACGCAACGTAGGAGCAACTCCGTACAATTCTGTTTATTTAGTTGATTAAGTTTGGGCTTTTTTTTGGAGTTTCCTCGGCCTGGCTGCGTCTAAAATTGTAGTAAGTCTTTTATATACTAGCTAGAGTTTACATTTAGGTTTTGGCTTGCTTGGGTTATTTATTTGAATGGAACGCTGTAACACTCGCTTATTTACACAGTTATTCGGTATTCATTTATCAATATTCTATATGCGTAGGGATTATTTTAAGTCTTAGAAAATCAGGGGTATTCATAAGTTATACATACATATTTACAATTTATAGCTTAAGGAAACCGAAAGATAATGGGAATCGAAGTTGGGTGTTCGTGAGTTTTCACTTGGAGTTTATTTCGTAAAATCGCGTTTCATTGGCAATTCCTATGACAAGTTATTTCATACCTTTTGCGAATATTTTGGTAACTTATATATGATACAACCATGACCAATTGATGCTCCTATCTGTTAAAGTAGAATTCTGTGCATTTTATTTACACAATTCTTGCAGAAGTTTCCCCCAAAATATGCGATATGCCTGAACCTAAGGATCACTTTAAACACACATTTACACTCAGATAGAAATGAAGTATGAATTGAGAGCACGCTTATTAGGTTTATTCAAGGATGTATATTGCCATGGATGAGTGTTCGCCTGCCTGTGATAATATGTAATTATATCGATTAAAATCTTAGTTCATAGCCTCTTTTATAGCGTAAAATCCAAGTTACTGGGCGCCAGCCCGGGGACAACTCAAGTCTTGTCCTCGGCCACTTTGGTGGCACTAATTGAGCCGCTGACTCTGATAGATACCGCCCTTGATTTGGGTCCACCTTCTCTGGCACCGCCAGATCCTGTGCTCCATGTCCTTGCGGTGACGGTGGCGGTGTCGTTGGCGGTGCAGGCTGCTCTGTTGGCATTCGGGTGGCAGATGTCCCTGGCCAGGGCAAATTTAATAATCCACAAAAGTGTCAGGAGCGCCGTAACGCTGCGCCAGTGCAAATAGCCGTGACATCCAATTAGCGCTCTCCAGCTGACACTGCCCGACTTAATGGCCGAGGCGGAGTATTCACCTGCCGATCAAAGAGGGAAATGAAACGGTTTAGCTGAGGGTTCGAGTATCTGCGGCTTTCGGCACCAGCATTATTCCCGCCATGGTCACCAAAGTGCGTTTCGATAATTCACTCCAACAAGCTCTCTAAATACCCGAATCCCACCCGATGCGTTGCCATCACAATCAATTTTTGTGACTGCAAAATAAATCCAGCCCGACGCGACTCCAGTTCGGCTCAACTCGTCTGTGTTCGATTGGATAAATAAAGTGTCCATTGTAATTAAATATTTCTATTGCAAAATTGAACATCACAAACGAGGGGGTGTGGGTGTGTCTGTGTGTATGTTTGTGCGGTTTTGGCACAGTCATATGGGTGCTTCGCGATTTCCATGCACGGCTAATATCGCTGATGGATTTTTGCGGCATCCGCGGGAAATGAGCACTGAACTAATATTGAACTTGCATCGACATGGCCCCGAAATTAACTGAAAGTATCAGAGCAAATAAACCCGGCTGACCCACACCCACGATCCCCGGCCAGCTCATTAGGGCCACATATTGATTAGCCGGCGGCAAAACAATGTAAAGTAATTAATTAAATGCTCAACTCGGCAATGTGCGGAAGTTTAAAAATCAATAATGATCAGGGCTTACATGAAAGGCTTAAAGTTAAGCCCATTAACTGAATAAAAATGTATCTCAATGGAAATATTTAATAAAAATATGATAAAGGGTCGAAAATAAGAGGGGAAAAGTTTTTTAAGCCCAGGTTTAAGTACAATATAAAATATATATTAGTTATGTATGGAATTTCTTTATTATTTTCAAGCTAAGTAAATTTTGTAAATGAGTTTTGCTTGTAAATTTCTCATACTTAAAGCCCTCGTCTTTAAAATAATTTCAAGCCATAGTCCTTGCCACATAAGGAGTCGACAAGTTTACCACAATTAGACCAAGTTAATTACGGGTTTCGCAGCACCAGCTTTTCCATTATTAAGCCGAGTGCCAATTACCACAACCACTGCGTGTTTCCGACGGCAACGCATCGGTAACAAACTCCTGTGAGTCATCGGAAAATGAGACTAAAACGACCTGCGGTCTGCGGAATCAGTTATTAATTCCTGGGAGCTTGTAGAATATGCATGAAATTATTTATTTAAAAATGATTAAAATTGAATAAATTTAAGTTCCGGCGACCGCACGCTGACATTGCCACTTCACAAAGTGCAAGCAATAAGCAAATTAATTACGCCACCAACTAGGGCCAGCGCCAGTCCTAGCTGATTTAATAAATCACAGGGCGGAGTGCAATTAAAATAAAAATCCCTGAATAAATAAATGATAATATCATTAAGTTATTAATAATCATTTGTCATGACGCAGCGCTGGGGCAACAAAAAAAATGGCAAAATGCCGCAGCATCGACATTAAGTTTATTAACCTTTTCGCACTCGCATGGGCTTCGTGGAAAATGTTATTAAAATTATGTAAAAAGGCGTGCGAGGACGCATTGCATTATTGTCTGGCACTCAGCCAGCCAACTCCCACACAATTCTCTGGAGCATTGTTTTTCATTATCCTCGGCTTTAACATGTTTTCACTCATTTGCCGGCTTAACAACATAGCAACAAAAAGCGAGTGGCAAGTGAGGCCTGTGAGCCTTTCCTTTATCTGCGTCAATTAGTCGAATATTAAAAATACATTAAATCCGTGTTATAAATGGTGTTTGTCATGCTCCGCACAATGCAACCATTTCACAGCAAATTAAATTGTGAATTTAATTTAAAAAACCCCTGCAAATATTCTTTGTCGATTGTTTGCCCTTTCTGACCTAGACACAAGTACCACTCCGCCATTCGGCGTTTTTACGGCCATTATTTGTAGCCTGACAATCGTCACTCAACCCAGGTCCCGGCTCCCGGCTTCGAGCTCCCGCCTCTCCGGCCTGCGACAAAACAAACTTGTACCTGTCCGCCCGAAAATCATGCTGCGAGTCCTTGTCCCCCGTCAGGTGTCATCAGTCACAATCGCCCGGCATTTGTTTTGCCGGCTCTGGGCCGACACTCGGCACGGTCGAATCATATTGTCAGCTGGCGAAGGGCCCTTAAGTAGCGTGATTTAAGTGGAAAACGACAGGCAACAAATAGCAGCCAAACGCAGACATGGACGAGCACATAGAGGGGCACTTTGGGGGACTCACAGAGGGGCTTATGTAGGGGCAAATGGAGGAGCACATGTCGGAGTTGACAGCTAGGAGCAGGAACTGGATCAGCAATAGGAGCAATGGACAAGCGATTTAAATGCAGGACGTAAATTTGGGGCAACAAGTCTGCACAGCCAGAAAACGGAACCCACACAGGAATATTTTAGATATTTAATTCTATTAAGAAAGTTTATATTGTATTATTAATTATATTTTGAACAATATAATTATATTTTAACTCTCTAATTTATGAGACTTTTGCTGGAGAACTTACCACGGCGTGGAGAATTATTTGAAAGTAGATTTCTATATTTATGCCTTTCATTTTCAGCTCTAGATATTTTTTTCCATAATATGCTAATTCGGGCAATGAAAGGCAAATGGAGATTCTTTCTGTGTAAACCAACAAAATGACAAATAGAGACGGACGAGATGGATAACCGGACAGATAGCTAACCATTTGTTGCGACATTTATAGGTCAGTCATCGTCGTCTCCGGCGTCATGGACATTTACCTCCGCATCACTGTCATTGTTGTCAGCGTCCTTGGTCCTCGGACTCAACAGTGTCCCTGTCCCTGTTCCTGTCCCTGTTCTGTTGCCGACTGCCTCCCGCCTGGCGGACATTGGGCAAATAACGCAATTGTGGCCATTTCGAGATAACAATAAAACTGCAACCACTCCTCCCGTACCGCCTCCTCTTTCGGTTTGGTTTTTGGTTTCATTTCGTTTCGTTTCGCTGGCATTGTGTTTGCCATTGTAGGAAATTGTGTAAACAAAATAAAAACCTCTCAAATAGCCGGCACAGTGGCTGGTGATGGCAGGCTGAAGCATTAAAAGGAGGAAACAAAAAATTAGTTAAATGCTCCGCTTACGGCTTCTGCTTTTTTCCATACTTTCAGTTTGTGGTAATTCGGCATTTCCATTCATAAGTGGGCGTTGTGCCGGCCCACTGTGCGCATATTTCGCAGAAATCAAAAGTCAAACCAAACACAAGCGCATCCGAATAAAATTCAATTAAGCTAAATGAAAACTTAATTCAATTGCGTGGCCATACAGACAAACAGTTAAAACAGCCCCTCCCCAACCAGGACCTTACCTCCTTCGCCCACCTCCACCCACTTTTCTCCACAACCACCCGAAAGACTCCCCCTTACCATTCAGCACGTGGAGCACAATGGTGCGGGGCGCACTGTTCGAGGGGCTGCACGTGTAGTTGCCGGAATCCAGTTTGACTACGGCCGGAATGATGAGAGAAGCCGTCTGCAATGAGATAATAAGAGCGCACTCAGACACACGAATACAGTTGAGCCTTCCAAACTCAAACCAGCAAGTCACACACAATTTGCTAATTATTCCAATTAAATAGATTCACGGAAATGTTTCTGGGAAATCTTCTAAAGATAGGGATACCAATAAGTTTAAAAAAAAGGTTATTGTTAAGACTATTAAAGCATTAACAGCTGTTTCTCCAATGTATCTTTATTAAAATTAAAAGTTCAGGACTATAGTTATTGTAAAGAGTGAAATATTTTGTTTTTACTCTACTTTAGTATCCTTAACTTTAGCTATTTTAATTTCAGTTAAAAATACTCACAACAAAAATGTATTCAAAAATATTTTGAAAATACTCAGTATAACCTTAGTTCTTGTTTAGGGAAGCTCAACTGTATTCAATAATATTATACATTATTCAGTTGCCGAGACAGTCGTCAGACGCGATCGAGTGTGTCAGGCGCAAACTGCTGGGGCCGTATTTAAAATTATAATTTGACAAACGTTGACAATAAAAATTTAATAAAAATTATTTTGCATGCCTCGTATTCACGCCAATTTGCGTAATGAAAAGGCATTTAATGGGGGGAAAATGCTCTCGTTTGGGGTAAGGCAGGGGAAACACAGGTGAGGGTGGGCTGGAATGTGGTAAGCCACTTACTGTTATCTGTTTAATGAAACTGCTGCTTGGCAGCAGGGTTGTTGTTGAAGATGCCGCAGTCGTTGCTGCCGCAGTGCTCGTTGGCCAGGTGTTGCTTGTTGCTGTTGCTGTTGTTGTTGCACCTGCCGTTGAGTAGTCACCTGTCGCTGCCGTTGTTGCTCCCGCTGCAGTGGATAATGTGGGCGGTGTCGTTGCCAGCAACAAAGATGTGGCATCCGCATCGGCAGCGAGCTGGGAGCTTGTCGTCTCGGTGACGACAGCCACCCCGGCCCCCAACTCGGCCACATCGTTCTGCGATATGGCATCTAAAATATATGAACGTGTTATGGTTGCTAAACCATTAACCGACGTCTCCGAGGGTGCGGCTGATGCTGTTGATCCTGCTGCTGTTGTTGTCGAGCTGCTTATTGGCGCCTCCGTGGTCGTCGTCGTGGTGGTCGTCGTTGTTGTTGTTGTCGTGGTGCTGGTGGTCGGCACTTCCGGCGGCAGATCGATGCGTTCAATTTCCGTACGCCAACCGCGGCGATTATGCAAATAGATTTGCTTCTGATTGTAAAACCAATTAATGAACAGCGGCGGCTCGAGAGCCTGGCTAATTATGCAACGCAATTTCACTTGACTTCCGGCCTTCACATGTCGCGTTGACTCGCCAATTAATTCGGTTTTGGGTTCTGCAAAGGACACGCAGGGAAAGTGACGGATACATGTATATAGACAGAGTATATAGACAGGAACTGGAACCCCACATACAGCTCCAAAGTCTGCTCGCGAAAGTGCAACGGTCATTGATTTATTGTCCCTGTCATTGCTGATTTATAGGTGTGGTCAAGGGTTTGGGTATCGGTTTTGATTTTGGCATCCGATTTTGGTGAACGAAGGCCAATAGGTCAACGGAATGCAGGGAACAGTCAATTAGAGGGACTTAGAGTGGGCTAACAAAGATATGTACGATGGGGAGACCTTTGAAATTATAATACAAAATCAAGAAGAATTAAGAAAACCAAACGACATATTTTGCCTAAAACCTTAATTAGTCTAAGTAAATAGAAAACATCCACATTTTAAATTGAGAAAGATTTCTTCTGGTTTTTAAATTGATAAACAGGATTTATATTAATTTAAAATTTAATTCAATCAAGTAAAGGTCGCAGTAGTTTCCCATCGTAGGTGGCACCACCCAAATAAACCCAAATAAATATGCTATAAACTATGAATACTCACCCACTATCCTCAAGTGGACAATGGCACTGGCCTTGGGCTCCGTGGACACCTGGCATTCGTAGGTCCCCTCGTCCTTGAGCTGCACATACTTGATCTGCAGTGACCAACGCTCGGGATTCGGCGAGAAGACCGACTGGAAGCGCTGATCCGCAATGAAGGTGGTCTGGTCCACGGTGAGGATGTGGCCGTCCCGCATCCGCAGCCAGGATATCGGCTTCTTTACCAGCTGCTTGACCTGTTCGAATGAGACAGCAAAGTTTGCCTTCAATTATCGAGAAATGATTCGATTTTGGGGTTTCCATTTTTAAAATTAATTCAATTATCCCCGTGCAGAAAGCAATTCAAACAGTAAATCCCAGCTGTCCGACCAGCCCCGGGGATTGGTCAGAACGAGGAAGAATTGGCAGGATGATGATGATGTCAGCAGAACTCTGCCTTGTTTGCGCTGCTCTACCTCAGCTGTGTACACTTTCGGGGGCCAGTGGGTAGCTGGGCGGTAAACAATCACGATAACAAAACGACGATTCATTTGTGTCAATAATGGCAATAATAATTTAGTGGCAATTTGCCCAGGCAGCCTCCGTCGTCTCCGAGCGAAAACAAAATAATACACATTAAGTAGCTGGTCATCGATACGGAAGTGTGCCCATCAGGTACACATCCATACATATTTGTGTAGGGATATGAATTCACAATAAGAGAAGGGCCCCCACCTAATTACATTGACCCAGAGCAAACAGGAAAATCTTCCTCCGCCACCACCACCCATTTCTCCCAGTGTAAATATTGTGGTAACTGGTCGTCGTGACTGGGCCAAATGACTGTCTTTGAACCACTGCCATCAACTACAATGTTGGTGTCGGGGCCACAGACAACGAGGAACTGGGAAGCGACGACGACGACGACAACGTCATGATTAGATACTATAATCATTTGCGTTTTATGTGCTTGTTGTTGCCGCCATTGTTGTTGTGAATGTCGCCAAGGAAGTGGCAGACACTGGAACAGGCTCACCCTTACAGCCACACAGCTTCCCCTTTGTTCTGGCTGTTATTGCCAGTTGAGCACGTGCTGTCAAAAACTATCTCTCTTAAATGAGTAAGAACGTCTCCGCATTGTCGACGAATCAACTCCTTGGAGGAGTGCAGGACTTGGGCAGTCCATCACCTGCGGGTAGACAGAATTTTGAGAATACTGTCACCGTTTTACTGAAGGATTTTTATAAAATTGTAGATCTTTTACACTTGAGTAGGATATCTATGAAGATATATATATTTATATATAAATTATACAAGTATGGAAACTATTTAAGAAACTAAAATTATAAAAATCTAATTAATATTTTGTTATATAGAGTCGTCTTTTAATTTGATTTTTAATTAGCTTACTTTTTCATTCTTCAAAATTATTTATTATTGACTCTCATATTTATTCATTAAAGACAAAAGAAACAAACAATTCTGTGCTTTTCCCTTTTTTTACAATAGAAGCTTTTCCTATATCCGGCTTCCAATTTAATTGCTTCCCCTCGGCTCGTTTAATTAATCATTTCCCTGCAGACACATGAGCTGGCAAAATTTCCATATTGAATGCTTTGCCAGGTATCTGGGATAAAATCGGAAATATAATCGATCGAAGCCACTGTGCGGGGTGAGAGTTTATTAAATTTCGCCGCAGCCACGGCCAGGAGTATCCGGCTCTAAGGACATTATTATCGGGCTGAGCATCGACATTATACTCGGTATTAAGTGAAGATGCTTATCCAGTGCGGAAGAGGCGGAGGCTGAGAGGCTCGGCAGGCAGCCAAGTCAGGACTTCGAGTACGTGGCAAGTGTAAGTAAGTCTCCTGGCGTTCGCCGTCGTCCTTGCGGCTAACAAATATCCCTGTGTGGCCTGACTGGGTGGGGTCCGCGCAGGTTCCCGCCCGGCATTAGCTAATTTAAATTTGCCGCCTCTCTTAGAGATTGCGCTTAAGTCCGCCATAAAGTGATGGGACGTCGGCACTTATCAAGATGCCCGCCCGGGTGTTTGCCATTTAAATATTGTTAATTAGTTTTAGCTGCAGTTCAAACTCGCCGAAACTGTGTCGCATCTTGCTAGGGTCTGGTGGGGCCATATCCACTTCCTCTTCCTGGCCCCATTGGGTTTTATGCGCCCCGCCAGCCGCTGTCGGCATCATCAGCTCCAGATTGAGACTCTGCCGAGTGAGCATCGTTTTCCATCACAGTCGAGCAGACAACAAAGTTTGCTCATAACATTGCGAATTTTCGTCTAAACTTGTTTGCAAATAATTTCTTTTATTTTGTTGATTCTCCTCCGTATTTCGCCCTTCGTCCTTCGTCCTCCGCCTTCTGTCTTCTGTCTTCTGGGCACCGTCTTCCTCTTTCTTTTCACACAACAATACACCTCAAAGTGCCTGCTTTCATATCTTCACCGAAATAACACAGCACAACAAGGAAAAAAGTACAAAAATGAGAGGAAACTTTTCGCTGACTTTGCCGAAAAAAAAACAGTTGGGGGAAAATAAGACAGGAATGACAGAGAACGAGGGGGAGCAGTCAGTCGAGTCGATTCTGGGTAAAAAATATCTTCAAGTGCTTGCAGGCAAAGCATTTTTGTGGGTTCCAGTCCCCCTGGCCTTGCCAGGATTTCGTATCCTTCAGCCGCTTTCTTTGTGACGCCCACGGTCTCAAAATGTATTATTAATTGATTAGGTTTAAGCAGATTCCCAGATTATTCCGGGCATATAAATATATCCGCGCCGAGCTGTGCCAACAGCCAGCAGCGAATATGGGGTATCGACTATGTGTGTAGGAATCAAATTATCTGATAAATATTTTATAGTAGATTGTTTTTCGATTTTTGGCAGTAGAGGAGGTTCACGGTTCAGGGAACATATTCCCGCCGGGGAGCTATGCTATGCACATCATGTATAGTATTTGGCTAAATTTGCATATTTATGTTAGTCTTAGATTGCAGTTTCGGTCGATGCTATCCTTAAATCTCTTAAATTTATAGTCAAAACTTGTTTCCTAACCGAAGCCTTGAAAAAAATATGCTTTACATAGAGCAGGAAGTGCTTTATTTCAGTATTCAACGAATTTAAATAAAAGAACTTGTAAAAAAGATTTGCTTGTGGCTTCTCCAATTGAATTAATTTTCAGTAAATTACACCTGACCGCTCAGAGATGTGAGCCTAAATAATTTTTCCTTCCTGTTTACTGAATCCAAAGCAAACACAGTCGCAAATGAATTGGAATAAATCTGGGGAGTGCTTTTTTTTTAAGAATTTAGCGAGTCAAAGGTAAGTAAATAAAACCCTTTCTCGCTGCGTCCTTTAATTAACTCGCACCACGCCCCCCCCGCAGTTTTCTGCTCTCGGTTCACTGGCTCCGCACGAGATTCTCAAGGAATATACTCGCATCTGTGTTTGTCAGCCGGACGGAATATTTATTTCTGCAACTTCAAGTTCTGCTGCACTCGGTTCCAGTAATTTCCTGTCCAAACACCAACCAGTAAATAGTAGCCGGGCACTGGCAGCACAGCATCCACCAGCGCCAATTATAATTTGCAATGCGAAACGCGGATAAGCGGATGCGCCATGCGGATGCACCGAGCGGATGGAGCAGGCACAGCGCCAAGGAGCACCGGGTAACTGAGTTATTAGCGGATGCCATCGCCTCGTGCGTACATAAATGCGGCACGAGTACATACTTATGTATAAAGCGGATGTATAAGCGTATATAGTGCCAACTATTTGGGTCATCGTTTTTGAGCAGCTGCAAACAAAAATGTGTCTCCTTCAGCGTCAGCTACGTCCGCTTCCTCTTCTTCGTTTTTCTTTATTACACTGGGATCAATAAATGCAGGGTAGTCGGGTTTAATTAATAAGTTAAAAAGAATCCTTAAATTATTAAAATATTCTGATATTCTTAAACACATCAGTTACACAGTTACAGTTTCAACATTCACAAAAAGGATTCTATAGAAATTAATCTGGGGCACTTGGATTTATAATTTCATTACTTTTTGGTAAGTGTACCCAGCTGCTTATGTATGCCCTTAGGCTAGGGCGTGGCATCGACAGCATCGGCAATTTCCGGTTTTGTTTTCGCTCAGTTCCGACAGCGGCCAGCGTAAATTAGTTCAAAGCTCTAAAATGCTGAAAAAAGGAGCGGAAGTCCTGCCAATCGATGCCACATCCCTTGGGTTCAACCTCCTCCTCCTCCGCCACTTCCTGGTGGGCGCCCTTTTCTCTTCCACCCGGGCAGAACTGTATGTATAATCAGCTGCTTATTATAAATTATCAATAATTAATAAAAATGCTCTGGTAAATATTTTCACAGCCAACATAAATTGACGTGGAACTTCCCCCTGATGGATTGCTAAGTAAACAAAGCTTCATGAAAGAGTTTGCCCGAGCAGCGGTCTTATTGAATTTTCAAGGAATTTTCCATTCACTTCAACCTCAATGTTCCCCCCAAATTATGCCTTCCATGGAACTCTGAGCCATTGATTCGGCTTGGCCGCATTCTCGATTTTCGATTCAGAGCTCAACAGTGAAATTCAATCAGAGCCGGAGGCTAATTGAAGGGAATTTCGGGACACGACACACACGGGGAGAAAAAACATAACAAATTGAAGATAATACTCTTCATGTCTGGTACATCAGCCTCATTACTGGCATTGACCTAAACCTACTTTGGGTAAGAATTGTTGTGGGAGTTTCATAAGTAGTTTTCTGCTATTTAAGTCAAAGAACGTTCGGTCAGTGTAACACGGTTGCTCAACTTACATTGCATGGCAGATAGGCATGGGTGCCGGCCTGGCTAATTATCGTCTGGTAATCATCTATTGTTGGCGGCGGCTTCAGTGTGGTGGTTGCCACCGGGCGGCGGGTGGTGCGACGCGTTGTTGTTGTTGCAGGTTGTGTTGTTGCGGTGGCCTCCGTTGCTGTTGTTGCATTCAATGCAATTGTTGCCGCTGCCGAGGCTCCTATATCTGCCGCATCTGATGCTGCTGCTGCTCCAGCTCCTGCTCCTACTGCTGGTCCTGCCAGAGATGTGGCATTGTTGTGATGCGTGATTCTGTAGCTGTGCTGCTCCTGGATATTCCGACTGCTCATAATCAGATTCGCCTCGAGGGCAGCGGTCAGCCGCTGATCGCCATTGTGGCTAATGTTATTAATGGCCACATTGTTGCTGGGGCGAATTGAGGCTGCAACTGCAGCCATTGTTGCCCCAAATGCGCCGGCTTTGTCCGCCGTTCGGGCCATTTGCGTTGTCGCCGGAATTAATGCCTCGCGCCTTGATTGAGTTCTTTGAAATGCCCGTCCATTTGTCCCTTCGCTGTTTAATATTGATGTCTCCTCCGCCTGCCCTCTGATGGCTGCAAAATGGAGGGAAAAAAGGAAAATGAATAGGTTGTGAGTGGAAATTAATGACTTATTGTTGTGTTTACCACTCCGCATCCTCCTTGGCGGCTTAGATATATTTCAAATGCCCCGATTCCCATTTATCCCGAATACTCGTTACGACAATTAAAACGATTTACGGCTCCGGCGTTTTCGTTCAATAAATTAATCTTAATTTTTCGGCTGCCCTCGCCGCCGCCAGCCCCACGTAAAGTTGGTGAAAGTTGAAGATGAGTTTCGATGGCAAGTGAAATTAATTAGCTAATTACGAACTTGAATTGATTTGCATGTACTTGGCCCTGCCGAGTGGATTGGAGTGGAGGGGATGTCGAATGCCAACTTAGAGCCAAAGTTTCTATGGCGGCCGAAAAGCTGATAATTGGCATAAAACTGATGTTTGGTAGTCCTGGCAACCAGCGAAGGGCTCGAAAAACAAAGTCACCCCTCGATCCGCAGGTAGAACTATACACCGAAAATACCAATAAAATATTTTCGTAAATCGACAATAAATTATGCGACTTTTACACACGATTCACGAGCTTTGGGGGCTTCCCCGAATGCAGATTTCTGCCTGCAGATTCCCATACACATGCAACGCGTAAATTTGGCAAATTGGCGCCATAAATTCCGCTCGAAACTTTTGCCAAAAGTCAAAGATAGAAACAGCACAAGAGAGAGCGAAAGTTAAAGCGCACGGATGCGGGAGTTGGGCAAAGTAGTTGGCACTCTGTTGATAAGGAAGTCAAGCCAAGGTTGGCCTTTTCATTTTAATTAAAATTTATTAAGCTGTTCTCAGCTCTACAAGGATACAAGGTTACATGATTATAGTAAATCTTGACTTTATTTGGGATCACAGTTAATTGAGTTTCTCATATATCACAATACTCTGTTTAAAAATCGCAAGAACTCTTTAAAAACCTGTGGATATGCAATGTGTTTTGTGTCAGTTATCGTATTGTAAGGCTACTTTAATCCACCAGAGAGAGAATGCATGGTTGCCTTAATTAACTAATGAACAGTGATTACAAATTGCACAGATGCACAGCAAGAGAAAGTGGCTGTCATCGAGTACCCTTCACCAGCGATTGAGCCGTGAATGAAAGAAAGTATCAGAGGAATCCCGGGGAGAGGGAGCTCCCGCCATATTCTAATCAAGTTCAACCTATTTTGCCATCCTCAAAGTAAATGCAAAACTCTGGAAGCCTCTTTTAACGAGCCCGGCCAAGTCGTGCATGTTGTGTCTATGAGGCTGCTTCCCCTTCAGCCACCCTCGCTCTGGGAGAGGGTGTGCGTGCCAGTGTGTGTGTGTGTAAGCGTTATCATGTTTTATGTTTATGCTTCGTGTACGTGCAATAAAGATAAAGCGATTGCATATAAAAAACTTTTTAATTGCCTGCACTAATGATGCACTGCAGCCAACTTGATTATAATAAAGTTACATAAATTCCATTTCCCTTCGAGCACAGTGGGCAAGGAATTTTTCAGGGGTGTGGCGTAATTTAATTAGACACTAAAGTGAGGGGAGAAGGAAATGGAAGGCCTTTAATAAGGCCGTGTGAACATATTTTTAAAAAAATTTGTTAAAGTAATTGAAAAATTGAGTTGAGAAACACTGCGTATGAGTGATGAATTTTGCTTATGAATATTGCGTATACGCAGTGTTGTCAACAGGCAAAAATGCTAAATTAGTTTATTTACATATATTGTTATATAAGTCTATATTATCACCTCATAGCCCACTGTCAGCGCTCAACTCATTTGCCCATGGATAATATGTATATAAAAACCAACAGCTGCCGTCAGACGGTCCAAGGATCTCGGCAAGGGACTGATGTGGCGCTGGGTGCACAAAAGGAGGCGTGCCAGCCAGCGATGAAACAAATCAAAACAGCGTAAAAAAGTGCAATAAAACAAGCGAATTACTGGGAAATTCAAGTCCCGTCTCATTGCGTTGGAAAAAAATGAAAACAAAATAATAAACTGAAATTATTTGGGAGAAAATTATCATTTAGGGCAGCGCTTCGTAGGGGTATTAGGGATATTTCGAGGACCAAAAAGGAACTCACAACTGGCGGAGTCCTAAAAAAATTTGCTTAATCTTTTCGCAACAACGCGGAGAGAGGGATGTCGCAAACTAAAAAGTTGTAAAAACAGACACGAACACAGACCCCTCTGCGGCCCGCCACTGTAAAAACAAATTGTGCGCAAGAATAAAAAATAAAAAAAGTGTATATATATATATAAAGGAAAAGCGGCACAAACAGATAGGGAGGAGGAGGAGGGAAATCAAGTCGAGCACTTGGCAGCGGATGGGGGAAAACTTGCGTAATGAGCTTGGCTGCGGGGCGGGGAAAACTCTCACACATAAAACGAGCCTCATCATGCAGAATTTCATTGACTCGCCGACGGAGGAAAAGCTGCTGGGACTGCATGGGAAACCCGAGCTGCCGCCTTACACTAAAATTAACCGAGCAGTCAGCTCCCAGGTCCCGCGGGCATTTTTAGTCGAAAGTGTTTTAATCAAACGCCTCTGAACGCTCTCCGCTTTCCGCTCTACACTCGCCCCGGCCGGAAGCGAGTTGAGTTTGGTGATGTCTAAGTTGGCCCGGTCTTGTTATTGCTACGTAGTTGCTTGTTTTTGTTTGTCTGCTCTGTTATTGTTATGGTAACAATAATAAAAACAAAAGCAAGAGGAAAAACTATGCGGAAAAATCGCAGCTGAACCGAGGAAAACTTCAGTCATTTTAATTCTGCAAAGTAAGCAAACGGCTGTCGATATGGGACAGAAATCTTCAATTTAAATCTAAGAAATTACGCTATATTGAATATAGACAATTATAGAGGATTAATAATCTAATCTGGGATATGTGAGTATTTTATAAAAAGTAATAGAATCTTTAAGTTGTGCCAAAAGAAAAAGGATTCCTTTATTATTTTATTTAATTCTAGAACCGCCATAGAAATTCTTCAAGTGCAGACTGAGTGATGTCCGGGATACGCCTCCTTCCTGTCCGTCTCGGGCTGACAACATTTCGACACTTTTCCTAATTATGATGGGCATGTTGTCGGGATGATGAGGCTAATGCAGGACCTGATTATGATGCTGATGATGATGGTGGTGGAAATTGGCTTAACCCCTAGGCGCCCGGCAGCAGTTATGGAACGCCGTAATCGCAGCCCCCATGAGCACCTAAAGTGGTGGAGGATCGAGGAGGACTTTCCTCTCGGCCGGACACTCTCATCAAAATGCCAGCCTAGTTTTCGCCTATAATGATGACAGCACGGGTGGCGGCGTGGGAAACACGACTTGGGAGTGGGCCGAGGGCAGGCCGTAACTTTGTGTAATAATTGTTGTTAAGCGTTTAAGTCGGGCGTGCCACTTTGGCGGCCGGCCGAAAGTATCCCGTGGGAAAATAGCCCGAGACTTCAGCAACTTATCGCTACCGCAAGGCTATCCACTGGAAAAGCCAACAAAGGGCGGATCTGCGGTCGTTTTCGGGGCGGCTCCTCTGAGTTACTTCACTGCTGTTACAAGCATTCAATGAAGCTCAACTGGGCAGCTGAATTTGATTAAACAAAAGTAAAAGTTTTTAACTTTTTTCGCTCTTCCACTTTTCACCTACCTCAACCCAAAGCCCACCCCTCGAGAGCCACGCCACTTGTTTCCCTGATTGTTGTTATTTCTCGTTCAATTGGCTGAATCTCCTCGAGCGTTTCCGTCCGTCACTTTCATGGCCAAAAGAATCGAACAGCTTGCGAGGGGATGCTCCGAAGCAGAGCAAAGCACCGGCAAATGGGGTTAGCGGCGGAGGCAGGGCAAGGATAGCAAAGTTCCAGGCTTTTAACACAATTTAAAGCATCCAGAGCCGCCCCCTTATACAGTTCGGTGGATGAAATCCCCCCAGCAGGGCGGCCTTGCTGCAGTTTTTCCAACTTTTCTATTGCGAAAACAGAAATTTCGGTGGGCGAGGTGAGGCATGCAGGGCAGCGGTGCAACGTTTGATCGAGTTTGGTTCATTGATGAAAATGTCGAGAGTCACTTTCGTTATGCTTTAGTTTTAACTTTTAGTTGAGCAATTTGTGCCTTTTCATGTTGCCATTTTGATTTTAATTACCTTTCTCTCTCTTGTTTCCCTTATTTTTCCCTTTTTTTGTAGTACTAGAACATTGCTGTAGATGGAAGGTAAAAATCCTCGACAAATTGGGAAAACCATTGATTGATTGGAAAAAGTTAACCTCTCAACCGAAAAAAATGCTTTTAGTTTTACTCCTTTAGGCCATGCTGACGATATTTGTAAGAGAGAACCTAACGACTGGTAACCAAGCTTAATTAGGAATCATTTTTGCCAAAATAAAATATTTCTACATTTAGCTTATGGGTAATTAATATTTAATAAAGCTTTAAAGCATTCTTTCAAGCTCAGGGTTAAAGACAATTATTTTTTAACAATTTTACATGGCTTATCCGAACGAAAATTTTCCCGTATTCAGGCTACATAAGCTTTTGAGCAAAAATGCCAACATAATTTAAATTGACCCTGACAAACCGAGCAAAAAATTCCCAAACAAAGCCCCGCTTCCTTTGCACATTTCACTCCACCCCAGACAGTCTGTGCTAAAATATGCACAAAGGCCAAGGATACACGGCACTGAATGCCTTAAATTCGCCCGCAAAATGCTTTTAAGCCGCGCATATCAAATTGTTTTTGCAGAAAACACGAGAAAAGATTCTGGCAGCGGAGCGAGTCATTTAATATGCGACAAATGTATCGTGAGAAATAATTTCATATTTGACGCAGCTTACCCGACAGGCAGATGAGGAGCAGTGCCAGCAGGAGGACCTCCGAGCGGATCAGGCGTCGCGGCATCCTGGCCAACTCCATTAAAGTGCCAAGTAAATTGATAATCCTTGCTCCGCGTCGGTCTGGTTCTGGGATTGGACGCCTCCTTGCGCGTCCCGAGCTCCGCGTATCGCGTATCGTGTTTTGCCTTCCGCGATTCGGTTCCTTGGTTCGCGGTCCTTGGCCAGCTAAGTCCTTTGGCCTTAACTGGGTCACATTGGGCGACTGGCGGCGCTGGGCCGCTGGAGCCTGTGCAAATTTATCCCTGCCTCGCCGGATTCCGGCTGTTGTTGGCTGCTGCTCCCGTTAATATCGCGTATACGCCTTGACACGAACTGCAGCAATATCTTGTCCTTGCTCGCGTGGCGCACAAAATCGCAGGGTTAACATATTTTCAAATAGCACTCGCACGGTAAGCTTGTCGGGCAATCTAAAATAACTAAAAGCGAAAAATGTCGTAAGCGAAGCTGAGCGCCAAGAACAACACGTGGCCAATTTTAAATATTCCCACAATGTGCCCGTCGAGCTGGGTGCCGTCCCGTGTTTTAGGTCCTGCCCCCCCACATTCTAGGGCTCCTTTGGCCCAGTTTATGGCCGGCGTTTTGCGCCGTATCCTGTTTTTGATATGTTTGTGTAAGTTTTCTGTGGGTGCTCTTGGCATTAGTGGCCCCAACGAGGTGTTCCCACATGCTTGGACTGCCTCCATTAAGCTGACCCAAAACTCGTGAGGGAGTTATGAAAAATTGGTCGAATTAAACACCTAAGCGCTGCTTTGAAGTTCACATAAAAGTGAAACTAAAGTTTTGCAGAACATTATAAAGCCTGCAAGCCATAAAGGGAGTTCGGAAACGACTAGACACACACTGAAGTGTACTTGGCAACAAAAAGGCTTGAAATCACATTACCTTTTTAATTCGTCAACTATAAATCAAGACATAAATAAAGCATAAATGTGAAAATGTAAATAACATTTTCAAAATTCAAAGAGATTTATGCCAATAAATCTTCTCATTTCCAACAACTTCAGAGAGTTTAATGTAAGGATAACGAATTTTTAAAATATGTAACTTTAAAAACTTGAAAAAGATAAAATAGCGATGAATTTCTTCGGAATGCTGGCGAAATGGGCTTCCGGAACTCGACCATGCATATGTGGTTGTATAAGCCGGAGCCGGGCATTCCATTTGGGCATCCTCCGTTGCCGTCGTGGCTCGGTTTCCCGGCTACTCGGCTGCTATGGCTGCTTGTGTTACCTCATCTTTCTTTTACGCCCCAGACTATATGGCATTAACGAAATTTATTTATGCGGGTGTTTAGTGGGGCGTAAAAGGAGTACATATGGCCATCCGGCAGCCGTACAGCTGCCGACCAGTCGGGCGAACACGCCCACCGAGCAACTTACAAATGCAGGACACGCGCAGGATGAATTGAAAGGATTCTCGATGGCTAGCCTAGCCGTACATAAGTGCGGGTGTAGGTGTAGCTGTAGGTGTAGGTAGGTCGGGGCCGACCAGGTCTGGTCGGGAATAATGATTTAAATGCTGTTTTGTCTCTGCCAACAGATGGGCTCGGAGTCGAAGTCGGTCTCGGACTGAGAAATGCCAGGCCCTCCGTGCATATACATACATACATAAGTAATGCCAGTGGAGTGGTAGGTGGCTCAATGAAGCGTTAACTCAAATGTTAAACAAATGTAATGTTCCGGACGACTGGGCCGTATGCCTCAAAGCAGAGCAGAACGAGTTGGACCTTAAGCCGGAGCCTGGATAACACAAATAATATTAAATTGATTGCACAAACAAAACAGCAGCGGAAGTGTAAATGATTTAACGCAATTCCTATTTCTATTCGCATTCCGCATCCTCGACTCTTGACTGCTGTCCGTCTTGGTCTCGGTCGTGGTCTTGGTGTGGGTCTGGGTCTGGGTGCCTAGTCCTTTTGGTCCTTGGCCATCTGCTGCTCGAACACTCGCACAGTTGGCCCAAGCTCGACGGCGTGGAAAGCGGGAAATTCCTGTGTCTGGTAATTCAGTTTATTTCGATTGCCATTCAATTTTGTGGCTGTGTCATCAATTCGTTATTGTTTCATATGATTATTTTGATACAATTATTGTGGCAGATTTACTTCAATGGGTGTGATTAGCGTTTATGTTCGATTTAAAGTTTATATAGTTAGGGATTATTTTAATTGTTTATATATTTCTGCTTTAAGAATAAAAGATCACTTGTCACTTAATTTTGAAAAATGTTTAGTTTAGTTTATTTAGTCAAGATCACCAATAAATTATATGGAATGCTTTACACAGCATGTATTTGTTTGTATCTGATTTAACTTGGCCGATTCATTTTAAGTGTATTATAGGTTATTGTAATTAATTTCTTATTGGTTTTTCAACTCTTAGAAATTTTTTCCTGTAGCGACACCATCACAAAGTCCGATCACTGAGCTTTATCAGGGATCCCCTTCACTTGTTTATTAACCATTTCTAACACTCGTTTCGTTTGAGGAAGCGAGAGACGAACCACGCTTGACACCGGCTAAAAGGAAACTAAGCCAGCCGACGGCAGCTTCATGGGGCACGGCAATCGCACCCGAAGTAACCCGAAGCGAGCGGCTCGGTGGCGTATACGCAATACTCGGGTTTAACAGTAACAGCAAGAGAGAGCGAGCGCGAGGCGCTGTAAGCGAGAGTTCACTGTTGCAGGATGTTAGCTCAGAGGAGTCTGTTAGTGATACAAATGCAATTACACGCGTAAATTGCTCTATTGTTATTAGGCATGTTTTATGCATCGGGCAGTTAGGCAAATTACTCACTTTGGATTTTCATGCAAAATCCCTTTCGCCAAATGCATAAAATCAAAGGCCGGCCCACATTGTCCCCTAAGCCACCTCAATTAGAGGATAAGAAGGGTTAGAACGGAGCGGGCGCCGCTTATTGCGGCTTAACAGTGCGATAACATAATTCCTCATTAACGTCGAACCAACGGCGCCGCCTGCACAATGCTCGCAAAAAGTGCTGGCCAAAAAAAGGACGAAGTACAAAGTGGATGAAAAGGATACGAGCGAAAGTGGGACAGCCGCAGCTGCCGGAGAAAACCGCATCTTGGCCGGAAATGCCGTGGCAAAGTGCAAAACACAGGGATAACCGAGGAGGAGGCGACAAGGAAAACAAAGGACCGAATTATAATGCAGACGAACAGGCCATAGATGTCGCCGCGGAATGCAAGGACATCCGCGATTACTTCACGATAGGAACTCGAGGGGGGTAGAGGGGCTGACAAAAAACGCAAGCTTTTGCATAAAATTCAATTTGTCGTGTGCAGCAGCCATGAATACGCCGAACTGCGGCTTTAAGCCGAATCTGAATCCAGCCCGCCCCACGACGTAACATATGCGCGAAATTACTTACGTAGCGCTGTGGCTGACAGTTTCGGATCTGGAGCCACCCAGACCCCATCAGGCCCTCAGCCCATCAACGCAGCTCCCTGTTCCCATTTCCCATCCAATTCCAGAAGCAGACCCACAAAGGCCCCTGAAACAATGGCTGCATACATACATATATGTATGTTCATACGCGTATGCAGAAGACACATTCACTTTTTAATGCGGCCCCCACACGCTCGGAACTGCAAATACTTTTATTGTTTATGCAGTTAAATAATTGAAGCACCCACGGACACCCACAATCATTGGCAAATTAAAACGATTTTTACATATATTCCTTTGTTCGGCCTTATACCGTTTCATTGGAAGGCCCGCAGCTAATTGTGTTTCAGAAAATGAAAATAATTAAAATAATAACTCGAAAACATTTGACAATAATAGAGATGTGTCTAGGGTCAATTACAGGGTTGCATCAGGGAATGGGGGCCTAAGTACTGAGGGTTAATAAAATGATTTCATGTTTTTATTTGTGAAACAGTGTAAGTAAAGCATTTGTGATTTGCTGTTTATTTTTCAAGTCTGAACTAGTAAATTAATTCCAGTAATACCAGGCAAATACTATATATACACCTTCAGTCCCACTTACCTATTGCAATTCCGCATCCTTCCCAACTATAAACAATCGTGCGAATTACCCCTGCCACTTCGAATGAAGAAAAATTTCCAGCTTAGCTCTGCAGTTGACTCAATAGAACTCAATCATGCAAGACCCTTGGAAATGAATTTCTCCTCGCCTTTTGCACACCTTTCACTTTTTTCTCTCAAGTCATTAATCACAGTTGTTGAAGGTTGGGCGAAAAAAAAAAATTAAAAAATTACTCAAAGGAGCAGATAAAAAATGGGCTAAGAATGCGCCTGCTTAAATGGGTGGCCTGAGTTAATGCGATTAAGTTGAACAAACGCTTGCTCCGACTACAAAGGATAATCAAATTAAAATCGAAAACAGATACTCCAGGTTGGCAGGGCTTAATGAAAAACTGATTTAGTAAAGGAGTGGAAACAAGGCTCTTTCCTTAGTATTTTTATTAAGCACTGGAAAGGAGTGGAGATAAATAAGCAGCTATAAGTTATAAGTCATTCTATAGATAACCCATCATAAAGAGTATATGTTGATTAGACAAAGTAAAAACGAATAGTAACTTTTTAATATATTTACCCTAATATTAGTAACCATTGTAAATAATGCGGTGGCTTTACTTTAGCTTCACTGATTTCAGTAAATGAAATGGAGCCCTACTTGCCCGTTAATAACTGCCGAAAATCACAGTCAGAAAGCCCTGAATCCCTGGCCAGGAACAGGCCTGGTGGCCAGGAAAAACATAAATTTTAGGGCGAGCTGTTCAGCAGCCACCAATTAATTCAAAATTTATAGCCAGTCAAGCACTGGGCCATCATCATTGTCCGAAGTTCGGTGCATTTATCGTGTCTGGCTAATGTCAGGCCATGCGATGGTTGGCAGGGGGTTCTGGGACTCGGACAGGGATAATTCTAATGCTGCTACTGCCGGGGATAAGCAGGAGGGAGGAGGTGGGAGACACGGGACGGCAACAAGAGACCTACCGCATTAGCCGCAATGGTCGTGTGTGACAGCTGGACGATGTCGCATATGAGGGAGTACCATAAGCCAGGTCCTGACTATGTCATTTATGCATTGCCGACTGATTGATTTGGCACACTCTAGAGCCCCTCCTCAGCCCAAGGGAGTCGGGTAATGTCAACGACTGTCCCTGCTAACGACAGCAAGTCCTGAACTGAAGTGTTGGACGCTCCACTCGAAAAAAGTACATGAAAGGTTCACATGCATTTGATAAAAATAAATGTCTTTAAATTAGACAAACTTATGCGTATGCCATATTATTTAAAGCCTACCTGAGTGAGGAATCTGAGGAATTTAATAGAGTTCATCTTGAATCACAGATAGCTATGCCAATTATGCAACAGTTTTGGAATAACATCCCATATCACATGGCAGCAGAGATCATTTCAATTTAGGCAGGGTAGCTGGCATTTATGGCAGTGGGGAAGCAGTGGGGGCAGCAGTAAATGAAGCCTTAAACGCAGTTCAAATGACAGTGAAAATCTTTTTGCAAATCCTCCAGGCAACAATTACCCAACTCGTACCGAGCTGCTCTGTGTGCTGGCATTAATGCGGTTAGGTTGTGTAACCTTCATCCCAGTCGCAGGAGACCGGCCAGGCCCCAAAAGTGCCAAAAAGTCTAAAAAGGGAAACTCGTTTTTTCGTTGCCTCTGCTGCTGCTCTGCTGTTGTTTTGGTCCTGTGGAGCAGACAGCAGCCAGGCATCGCATCCTCGGCATGACAACTCCACTCTGTTGCTCCATTTGCAACATTTATGGGATCCGCATGTGAACGAGAGTCCGGCCATGTATGCGAGAGGTCATTTTATTGTTTCCAGACAAAATGGTCAAATGGGAATTCGGTTTCGGCCCGGCTTTTTCGGTTTTCGGTTTTTCGGCCCTCTGTGTGTGTGCGAGTGGCCTATAGATTTAGATTGAACTGTCGAACATGTTACAGGCTACGGCATCCTGCCGTCCGATGGGGGAGAACTCTGGGAGATAGGCCGAAACAATGCAAATGATTAGAATAATCGCCGGAGGTGTTTGACTTACCCGGACTTACTTGCCCATAAACACAAATTTCAGTTTGCCGCAATAAAAGTTTCCATTTTATGGCTCTCGCTTGACTTTGGGTGCGAACACGGCCCAATCCGTTGTCCAAAGTGAATTCTGAATCCTGGGCTCACTACTAAATGGATTCTAAGAAGGGTGGAAATTTCCTCTGAGCCAGCTGCTATTAAATTATTCATTGATAAATTCTCAATTATCGGGAGTCACCAGTTCTCCCCGCTCATCGCCGTCGTTAATACAAATTTATTGTTTTTCCCGCTGACGCACAGCAAGTGAATTGGGGGAATAATTCATTCATTTTCACCTCACAAGCTCGGCGGTCTTTTTGTCTCTCCTTGTCCTTTTGGAATGCTAATTTCCGTCATGGAAATTTTCGCCGTGCTGGCAAATTAGCTTCTGCGGCCAGGGAGTTCAAAAGAGCCATGTTGCGCAAATGTGCCCAAAAACTGTGAGTGGTAGATTTGTTTTGGCTTCATTTATTTCCCAAAGAGCCATTTATCATGCGTCGTGGCAAGGTGTATCTTCGAGTTAATTTAAACTTTTTGTAAAATAAATTTTGGTAAGGATGTTTTGGAAGTTAATTTTTTATTTATTCATTATCATAATACTAGTTCTAGGAAATTGAATAAAATAAAAGTAGTAAGCTTTAGCTAATTCGATTTCGGAGGACCCAGTATTTTCTCGATTTCGCAGAGCCTGTCCATTACCTGCTGATTGCGGGCCTTTTGGTCCTTTAGCTTCTCTCCTATGGCATCCAGGGTGGCTGCGATGGCCAGGAGTGAGACATCGGTGGTTTGGAGATCCCTCAATAAAGGCGTTATCTTGGCCACGGGAACGGAGCTGGGATCCGAGGATCGATCTGGGCTTTCCTCTTCAGCAGTGGTGGGCACTTCATCGGCAACTGGTTCTGATGCCGATTCTGCCGGCTCGGCAACCGGTACATCTTGGGCAGCATCTTCGGGTATAATGGCTGGAGTTTCAGGAACATCAGTGGTTTCCGCAGCTGCAATAGGCTCCCCAGCCAATATTTCAGTTCCTATATTCGAATCAGCGGCTGGAGTTTCTGAAATATCTGGTTCCGGAGCAGAAGCACTTGCCTCAACGGGCTCAATGACTTCGGGTACTGTTTCAGGAGTTGAATCTACTACAACTTCAGCTTCCGGAGCTGCTATCACTGCTTTTTCGGAAGTTGCCGCGGGATCTTCTACGACAGGAGTAACTGGCTCCGGAGTGGATTCCACAGTAATGGCGGGATCGGGGATGGGAACTTCCTCAGGCATAGGTACCGGGTCTGCATTCTCAGATGGTGCGGAAACATCTTGGACTTCGGTCGCCGTTGGCTCAGGTGTGGATTCCACAGCTATGGCAGGATCGGGGATGGGAACTTCCTGAGGCACAGGTACCGGAATTTCAACTGCACTTACTGGCTCTTCAGGGATCAAATCAGGCGAATCCTCAGATGGAGTCGGGGCAGCAACAATTTCCACAGCAATAGGTTCAGAAGCAGCAGCTTCTATGACAGGTTCCGATGTCGTCGTGATCGCTTCGACTGTGGCAGTAGCAGTCTCTACAGCCGGCTCTGGAACTGAAGTATCGCTAGCCGGAATCTCCTCAGCGGTGGGAGTTGTTTCTGGAACAGTATCTGGAATCTCTGCAGGTTGCTCAACAGATAACGAAGCTGCAGGGGTGGCTTCAACTGGTTCCGAAGCGGGTAGTGAGGCTTCCACTGGGGCAGTAATATCTTCGAATATTGGTGCTGGAACCACCGGTTCCGTAGGAGCACCATCTTCATTGGGAGCAACAACAGGGTCAGAGATATCAGCCTCCGCAACTGGTTCCACTGTGGCTTCGACGGGAGGCACGGAAACTGCTTCTGCTTCCTGATTGACAGCAGGAACATCGACAATGTCCACAGGTTGTATGGAAGCTTCGTTTGGAACGGGCTGCTGAGTCTCCAAATTGGCATCCGTTGCCGTTGGGACTGAGTCTATGGCAGGATCAGCTATTGAGTCGTTTGGAGGAGCAGCCTCCGATGAAGTCGGGGCTTCATTTACGGAAATGGATGTCTCAGCAGCAGGATCAGGTGTTGCCTCAACAGAGGGTGGTGTCTCGACAGAGGCAGGTGCAGTGACGACGGAAAGATCTTCAAGTGGAGCGGGATCAACGGGCGGAGTAACTGGATCAGCTGGAATGCCAGCAGCGGCGTCGGTGGCAGTGGCCACAGGAACAGCAGCGACTGGTGGTGCAGCAACTGGTGTAGCAGCGACTGGTGCAGCAGCGACTGGTGCAGCAGCGACTGGTGCAGCAGCGACTGGTGCAGCAGCGTCTGGTGGAGAAGCGACTGGTGCAGCAGCGACTGGTGCAGCAGCGACTGGTGCAGCAGCGACTGGTGCAGCAGCGACTGGTGCAGCAGCGACTGGTGCAGCAGCGACTGGTGCAGCAGCGACTGGTGCAGCAGCGACTGGTGCAGCAGCGACTGGTGCAGCAGCGACTGGTGGAGCAGCGACTGGTGGAGCAGCGACTGGTGCAGCAGAGACTGGTGCAGTAGCGACTGGTGGAGCAGCAACTGGTGGAGCAGCGACTGGTGCAGCAGCGACTGGTGGAGCAGCAACTGGTGGAGCAGCGACTGGTGGTGCAGCGACTGGTGGTGCAGCAACTGGTGTAGCAGCGACTGGTGCAGCAGCGACTGGTGCAGCAGCGACTGGTGGAGCAGCAACTGGTGGAGCAGCGACTGGAGGAGCAGCGACTGGTGGGGCAGCGACTGGTGCAGCAGCGACTGGTGCAGCAGCGACTGGTGGAGCAGCAACTGGAGGAGCAGCGACTGGTGGAGCAGCGACTGGTGCAGCAGCGATTGGTGCAGCAGCAACTGGTGGAGCAGCGACTGGTGGTGCAGCAACTGGTGTAGCAGCGACTGGTGCAGCAGCGACTGGTGCAGCAGCGATTGGTGCAGCAGCAACTGGTGGAGCAGCGACTGGTGGTGCAGCAACTGGTGTAGCAGCGACTGGTGCAGCAGCGACTGGTGGGACAGCGACTGGTGTAGCAGCGACTGGTGTAGCAGCGACTGGTGCAGCAGCGATTGGTGCAGCAGCAACTGGTGGAGCAGCGACTGGTGGTGCAGCAACTGGTGTAGCAGCGACTGGTGCAGCAGCGACTGGTGCAGCAGCGACTGGTGCAGCAGCGACTGGTGGAGCAGCAACTGGTGGAGCAGCGACTGGTGCAGCAGCGACTGGTGCAGCAGCGACTGGTGCGGCAGCGACTGGTGCAGCAGCGACTGGTGCAGCAGCGACTGGGGCAGCAGCGACTGGTGCAGCAGCGACTGGTGGCGCAGCGACTGGTGGAGCAGCGGCTGGTGGAGCAGCGACTGGTGCAGCAGCGACTGGTGGCGCAGCGACTGGTGGAGCAGCGGCTGGAGCAGCAGCGACTGGAGCAGCTTCAGTTGGGTCCATTCTTAAAATCCTTCTTCTCCAAAGATAGTGTGGTCAGATGAGTTTGCTTTCACTTATCCAGTCCCCATTAACGAATTACATTCATGGTCAGCCTTTCATGGTCAGAAGACCTCTAATGGATAAATGGAAACAGAACGTGAGCAACATGCGCCTCGAGAAGCCGTATTGCGACCTTGAAGTGGGTCGTTGCCTGAACTAAAACGGGCGTTAAATGATGGCTGAACAGGTGAATCGTAGAAAACAGAAAAGTGTTTGAAAGCAATCGATCAAAATAATTGATTTTGTATTTTCCTGGCGCCACCCAGACGAGTCTAGAATCTAGACTCTAGATTCTTGGGGATAACTGTGAGCGTAATTCCTATAAATATTTATGCTATGCTGTAACTAATATTTTTATACGATTCAATTTGTTCACAAAATTGGAAGGGATGGTGGAAAAAAGAAAAGTATTTTACTCCATGTGATTTTTTTACTTATTTATTTTAGTTTTATTTATCTTCGTTGAATTATTATTCTTTATAAGATAAAAAAACACGAATTTAGATATGTATTCATTCGGATAATACAGAATTTCCCTACGCTTGCAACTTATTACAAATAACTATCGAATAGTTATCAAATAAGTTTAAGATCTATAATATAAAAATGTATGTTCATTTCGATTATAGTTTTAAAGCAACAATGATATAGAACTCTCTAAGCTTGGAGATTATTAAAAATACCAAATGAATAGTTTAGCAAGCTATGTTAATGTTGTTAAATATACAAATGCATTAGTTTTTCAGCTTATTAAAGATACTAACCGAATAGTTTATTATTTCTCAATAGGGACCGACCTCTCGTTGAGAAAACCCGCGAATAACTGGCCAGTTGACCAAGTTTTTCTGACTATTTTCACTTCTTCTCGGTGGCTTACCCTCTTTGCGAAGACCGCCAACTGCCCATTGAGAACAAAAACCATACGCATTGTTGCAGGTGTTTTTACGCCATTTTTTGTGCCTTTTAACTTAAGGCGCTTACCTTCTGACCTTAGTCAGTATTCTATTATTTCCGGCGCGCGGTGAAAAGTACGCAGCAATGCGTTTTGCGTGAAGAACATTTAAGATTCTCCCATTTCCCTAACCCTATCCATATTCAATGCTATCGTCTTGGAAGCCCTTTCAGCGATTTATTTTTGCGTGATTGCATATCGCTTACCACTCGCTTTGTCAGCTGCACTCGCAGACACATAACTTGTTATTTACACAATGCTGATTACTTTGCCGTATTTGCAATGTAGTTGTCAACAAAATGCGACAAGTCTCCCCCGATCCGGGGCCCCAATGCCCGGATACCCCGTGTTCGGCACTCAATACCCAACCCAATCCCGTCGCAGGTCCGCCATTCAATGTCTGATGCAATGACAGTTGACAAACTGCCACGACGTAGCCGTTGGATCGGAACACATTAGCTCGGTGGAAATGTAATCGCAAAGAACTAAGAAATAAATCTTTCAATTTTTCGAACGAGCCCTGGGACGGGAAGCGAGTGCAGGCCGGGGCGTAGGAGGAAGTGCAGCCGAATGTGAAGCAATCCGCAGAGGCAACCAGCAGTTGCACATGCCGTCCGCTGGAGCAAGTGTAATGCGATCTGCGTACAATTTGCAGGCGTCGTTTAAAAGGGTCCAACGCCTCCCCCGGCTAGCCCTGCCATCCCGACCACCCCGGAGTCCCGTAAATCCAGGGCCCAACACTCCGCAGCTCCTGTGCCGTCGCCGGGTAGCTAGCACACTTGAGACTTTTGCAAATAGTTTTCACATATGAACAGAAAGAATTTGTGCTTCGAAATACAAAGGAAAAAAAAAATAAAACAAAAATTGCAAACGGAAAGAATAGAAATACACATATATAAATAGGGAGATGGGAAAACGCTTATATGGAAATGATTTCGCCCGAGAAGTGGAGGAGCGAACGGAGTAGTTGCGAAGATTGAATTGGCAGTTCAATTTCACGTATTATTGACATTTAAGCGTAAGCATTTGAATATAAACTGAGCCCGGCTCAGGGATGCCGAAAGGAAGGCGAGCGGCGAGTCCTTGGGCAGGATGCACAGACATTGGCTGCCTATTATTTTCTGTGCGATAAATCAATCGCATGAAGCAAAATGCAGAGAAAATACCAAGATAAGTGGAAATGAAATTACATCAAGCATACAAATTGTATTTATACTTTATTCTATCCTCTGCTGCATCACTGGGCCCGACGATTGATCTGAGCAGACCGCCCGATTGGCAGTTTGTGTAGCAGTGGAAAATGTGTACTTTTAGATTCACTCTTGATTATGGCTGATATATGTCCCTTCTATTCGTATTTTTTATAAGATTCCCAGTTGAAAACAGGTGATTTTACAGGGAACATAAAAGTATATTTACTAAACCTCTTTCACTAAATGACATTTTTTCATGGCATATCCTGCGCTTTTCCACCTGAGAGAATCGACTGCACAGAACCTTAATTGCCGTCATTCCGCACGCACTTTGGGCGCGTTGAAAGCTGAGTCCAAATACGATTGGAAAAAGTCAAACACAAATATGAATACGAAATCGAAATTGCGTGGAGCGAAATGCGGCAGCTCAAGCTCCAATCCGGACCCGCTTCCGGGTGTATTTTGCTAAATTGCAAATATTTCTCAATTCGCATGCATCAGCAGAGAATGCAATGCAAACAATTTTCGCCCAGCGGCCACAATAAAAGGGGAAACCCCCGGCGAGTGCAAAAAACCAAACGCCCCCACTCGCAAAATGCTGGCTTTGCGAAAAAAATGCGGCTGAAATCGGCGCCGTATGGCAACCCTGGTTGCTGTGCTGCTGCAGCTGCAGCTGCAACTATGGTGCAATTTATTCCCAGTTTGATTGGTTTTTTCGTGCTTAATTGCACATGGCATGCGGGAGGGCGGAGAAAGCGGGGGACCCGTCCAATTGGGATCGGTATGCGGGGGCGGTGGCCCCAATTGGTTGAAAGGTCGCGCTCATCACGTGCTTTAATAATTTATTCAAATTAACACGCGTCAGCCCTCGTGTCTGCTGGCCAGACGAAGCCAGGTTCATGCGCTGCATTTCGCGAAGAACAGCCAAGAACTCGGAGAAAGTCTCAAAAATTAATAAAAAATTTTAAAGCAGGAAATTCCTACTATCCTCTTTATATACAGCTTTTAAGTACTTCGAGTGAACTACAATTCTGACAGGATTGCAATTCAAATGTATTATCCTTTTGTTGAATAACATAAGAAGTCCTTCCCACAATGCCTGCACTTTCTCTCCTTCGAATTTCGTTTCAACTTTCGAAGCATAAACGGGCCTGTGAGTGGGTCCAGAGTGCGCTCTCGGTTAATGGCCAACACTTTGTGGTCAGAGCAAACCGGAAAAACTGGCAGGCAAATGCAAAATATTGCACACAAGCACTCACTTACGGTGACCCCCCGTTATCCCTTTTACCCCATGGGTAGGTCCTGTATCACCTCCCTGATAAAGGGTGAGTGTGTAAATTACAGCTACATTTTTAATGCATTTTTATTTACATTTACATGGGAGCGCAAACAGAGCCCAGATGAGCGGGGAAGCTTCGGTCGGCCTGACACGAACTTTTGACACTTGACAATTTGATTGTTTTTAAGGCAAAGTGTTAAATTATGCAAAGCACATAACAAACACAAATCGAAACGCACGCACGCACGCACGCACTCAGTGTCAACAGCCACGAAAGTAAAATATTTAAATGGAATCCCGAGCAACAATTTGCATCAATTAAATTCTGAAAAGTCCTTGACGTACTCGTATGTTTTTTCAAGATTTTTCTAGTGTCATTTAAAGCGTTTAGTACTAAGTGTTAAATCTACTTAGAGCTTGAGGGCACAAAAGGCTTATCGGATGTCAGTTTAGCCATGAAACTTAATCACACAAAGTCACATTTGTGGGCATCCTTGCACAGTGTCCTTTTAGTAATTTAATGACATTTGTTTGAACCTTTTCAAGGGTATTTAGTATTTAAATTGTAAGTAATACAAAATTATAAACTAATATTAAACTACATTCGTGTAGATGACAGCTACTCATTCCCTCGATTCATTTCCGCTGAGGCAAAATCCCTGGCAGACAGTTTAAAAAACGCAAATGAATTGCACAATAAATGAACAATATTTACTACGTAATTGCAACTAATGTAGCAAGTTAAATGGCAGTAAACTAATTACGATCCCTTGGCCTGGTTCAACATAATTTTCATTGCATTTTTTTAGTCCTTTCCCTGGCTGCTACCCTTGCTCCGCCCGCCTTTCCCCTGCGACTCCTTGCTGGCTCCTTTCTTGTGGTAAATTAACTTGAATGCCGCAATGTATTTACCGCTACTCCAGCCAAGGAGCAAAAGCAACAAAAAAGAAAGCTGGCCAAGGCAAAGAAGAAAAAAAAAAACAATGAACAAGCTACGAATGGAAAGGGTTAAAGAGCAAACAAATCCGACATGCCAGGCAACGCAATGCCGGGAAGGTAGGAAAATGGGCGGAAAACCGTGGGGCCGAAGGCGCGGCTGGAGTCGCGTAACTTTTATCATTAGTCCGCTGGGAAATTTAACGGGCACTTAAGTTTTTCTCACTCGTTTTCAACTTATTTTTTGCTGAACTATTGTTTAGCCATAGCCATGGCCGGAGCCCATTTCCCCACATCCCAGCTGTCACCTTTCATTTGGCTCCTTCTCAGCTCGGTGAAAATTTATATTATGTTCACTCCAAATACAGCAGCATCATTTATAAGGAACTTTTATTTTGTTAAGCTCCGCTCTCCGCCTTGGTTTTTGCGGATATTGTTGCAATTTATTTTATTGCATTTTGTCTACAGTTTGCGGATTTAATTTGGCCCCCAGCACTGCGAACTACAATCCGCTGCCCCCTTGCCCCCCTTACAGGACTTAACAAGCTGCCAAGTTTTTAATGCCGGGCCTAAGCGGAAACTTTTTCGATTTGGATTCGGCCCGTTCCCCGGTCGTCTTCACTACTTTCTTCCGCTCTTCTCCGGCTTCATTTTTATGATTTTATGGGGTTGATGTTGGGCCAGAGACCCTGGCAGCGGGGCATCTGAATTAGGATTACCAGAGGTCACTTTATTAGGGCTATCTTCAGCTCCCGAAGACACACTTTATATGCGGCTGCAGACAAGGTGACATCGGCTCG